TTTTTTTTTACTGCATTTTTGGTAAAAGCTTCTCAGATCATTATTTCATGTAATATGGACACATACCCAATCGGTTCACACATCAGTATACACACAGACACACACAGACATACAAACACATATAATTGACCTTGACCTAACTTGACATGAAATGACCTCAGCAGCAAAAACCTGGTCGGGTAGTGTGACAAAGAGGTTCTAGCTGGCTTGGCACCAGAAAACGGCATCGTTTTCGGTATATGATAAGCAGCGCACTTGATATTCAACGGTGACCCAAAACAGCAACATTTTTTAGTTTGACCTGACCTGGAAGGTCAATGACTGACCTGAGAAGGTAAAACTGGGTATCATTGGATTCGTCTCTTCCCAAAGAATCTTTTTGGTCTTTACCGCTAAGCTCTATCTCCAACAGGAACGAAATGGCGCGGGGGGGGGGGGTGGCAACCACCCACCCCCATGTGCGTTCTAGGATGGGAAAATGGCATGTGCGGGCGAGGGTTAAAGATGTAATTAAACATGCAGTTAAAATTCAGTTAACTGAATATAACAGTGTAGCATTCCCTGAAGAGAACTGAAACATATTTGTACGTTATTCACTGCTGCTCCAAGGCAATCATAGCTATCCTAAGGATGTCTTCATTCTTATCACTTCTTAGGATTTTTGGTCACTAATGACTCTGATCCTGCTGTTATGTTAAACAGACGCTCCATGAAAGCAGACGCTCACAAACAGGGTGGGCAGAAGTGGTCACACAAGTGAGCACATAGGTATGCACACCTTCAGGAAAAGTTCCGCACTGAACATGTCAGGAATCTGTTAAGACGTTCGCATGCAATGTGAGTGGAACCTCGCCAGGCACACAGCAAGCCCCAGGGAGCATATCTACCTACGTCAGTGGGCTGCATTCGCTATACGAGTCGCAGCATCTGAAATCGCCTTTTTGGTTCGTTGGTCGCTGTTTTGATGCCTGACAAACTGCAAGGAAACTGAAGCAGTGCCATTACGTATACAAATAAAAATATGATTTATGTATGCCATCCGGGAGCTTATCTCTTCATATCATTGGCTCTAATCTCAGAGACGGGGATGCGAGGTAATTTGCATAATGCATATGTTCTTTAATCTAGAGACAAAATCTTCCTTGAAATTTCAAACACATGCACAGTTTTATCATACTAAATGAGGATGTAAAATATCGTTTCAACGGAACATAAAGCAGCATTAAAAAATCTACCCTCTTTCACCTCGTGCAGGCAGCACGTGCCGAACTAAAAATCAGTGACATCTCGTCCATGTGGCTCTTGGAATGGACAAATCCGCCTTCAATCACGCCCCTGTCCAATGTCCATCACGACATTGAGCTGTCTGCCTTTCTGTCACCCTACACGAGGCGTCTATCACGATTTACCACTGCGCACCAGCCCGGCTCGTGCAGCCGTGGTGCAGCCACGGCCGGGTCAGACAATGGTCAAAGGTGGCTGCGCCCCGTGACGTCACTGGTGGCTGGCGTGACGTCACTGGTGGTGCCTGTCCAACGGGGGCGTAGCTGTCAAACAGGTGCCCGGCTGTCTGTCAGACTGTCAGACTGACAGTCAGAAGCTCCGGCGATATTGAACGCGGCCCTGTCACATAGCAGGATGTGGTGCCCGTCATGTGAGCTGCAAAAACATATTATGTTAAATGAATTGACCAAATTTTTTGTACAACAGAACAAAATAAGTGTCTAAAATAAATTTAAAAGGTCCATTTCATTACTGTTTATTTCCGACGCTTGCATGAAGAAACACATTTTCCATGGATTTAAAATCCCTCGAGTTACACGCGACTACGTTTTTTACCTTTTTAGTTTAAGGACACGTGCTAGATCTCTTCAGTCATGCGACCCTAAAAAAAAGAAAAAGAGAAAAATGTGCTTCATATCATTTACCTTACATCCGGCTTTCTGACGTCTACGAACAAAGTAGGTCTGCTGCATTGCAGGGACATTCACCAGGCTACCTTTTGCTGCCCACTTCGATCCAATGTGCCTCGTAACAACCTGGTTTTTACGGGTGACCATGGTGGTGCAGGGCACACGGCAGCGACATTTGGGCGCCCATAGCTTTTGGCTAGACAGGGAATCTTGTGCTCGGCCAGAATATTTAACCTTTATTGTCTTTGCGCACGTCACGGTGGGCCCCTTCGCCCCGATGTCTTCCTGGACTGCCTTTATGGAGGTGTCACCTCACGTCTCCAACGAAGAGGCCCTTCAGTGCAAGGAAACCGGAAGGGGTCGCTCAGCCAATGTCCACTCCCCTCGCCGAGAAGAATTGTCGATTTACACGCTACACACTGTTGTCGAAATAGCACGATTTACACTGGTCGATTTACACGCTAAACGTAATGGCCGAAATTGCACGATTTACGAGTAGGTACACTGGTCGATTTACACACTGCGTGAATCAGAACCGTGAGGGTGCTGTGTCAATGAGTGGATGTCGATGGATCGCAGGTGCAATGCGGAACACGTAACTGGCAACAGAAGATTAAGTCCCGCTGAAAAATACATCTGTCCAGAGCGACGAGGACAGCCGAAAGACGCTAATAATCGTGATGGGGGATTAGAGGGACTGCTCACTCAGTAAATTTTGAGATTTGTGCCGGTTAAGATTTGTTGCGACGAGGTTTGTGGAGCAGTGCATCAACTTCAGAACCTTAGCACTCTTCAGGATGCTTGGGATTGTGAACAATGGCGCATGAGTGTATGGCCAGAAAATAACCAAATTATCCTACTGTTAACGCCAGACGCCTTGAGACCCTAATTTTTCGCGATTATTTTAAAATGCGTGGAATGATTTCAACCATATTTAGGAAATAGCTGTTTCAAGACCAGCCGAAACTTTTTCTTCAAATACATTTTGTTGTCACTTAAATATTTGTGGCACTTGTCATTGACTCGTAATGTTAACTGTTTTTCCATCCTGGATAGAGGCTTTCATACGTCATATGACATTAGGCTCCGCCCACGACTGCGGCATTGACCCGTGCCCATCAGCGACCTCTGTACAAACGACACACCTGCCATCTGTAAAGGACTATGAATTTCGCTGACGTTTCACGTGTATGAATCAATTGCAGCAGACCGTCAAGTAGGTAAGTGTAAGGCTCTTGTTCACTCTTGTAGGTATATGGGACCAAGAGGACCATTACTCCTTAATCTACTACTCACACATGCTTCGAAAAAACGTTAACGATTCCTAACATATGATTTTCGATGTAGGATATCTGTTTGGTGAAATACGAGCGAGCCTTATGATGTGAAGCGAAGGCAATTAGCTAATTATTGCGCTGGTCGATGGGTGCATAGCGATGTACAAATCAGGAGCTACTTGATGACATCCGACATCCCATTATCGCATTATCTGCAGCGCCATAGGCAGGTGAATATTTCCTACCCTTATGTCAGTTATATGCCATCTGTCCGTCAGTTGCAGCTTATAAAAAATAAAACAAATATCAGCGAACATATCAGCATTGTAGAAGCAACGCGAATTGAGCATTTATGGCTCCTCAGTCATCATGTCGCTCTTTGGGCACTGTCAGACAAGACGTTACGCACAACTCCGCCGGCTTTCGGCACCGCTCGACCGTCCCCGCTCCCCGCCACAGCGCGAGTGACCGCGCGCCGGCCCGAAACCGCCGCAGGCCAAGACCACAGAGGCGGGGCTTAGCTGTGACGTCATAACGTATCGCAGACTGACTGGTGATAGCCTCTACACGCCGGGTGAAAATCTTGCTCGAAATTTAACATTACGAGTCAATGAGAAGTGCCTGAAATATTGAAATGGCGACAAAATATCTAAATTGTAAAAGTTTCGGCTGGTCTTGAAACGGCCATGTCCTGAGCTTGGTTGAAATTCTTCCATGCATTTAAAAATAATCGCGAAAAATTAGGGTCTCAAGAGGTCTGGCGTTAACAGTAGCCACCGAACATAAGGTTCGGTGAACAGCCGCCCGCATCGCGGATCAGTAAAGCGCCTGAAGTCATCCAGCGTACCCAGCTCGTGATTCACGACCAGAATGTGTTTTTTTTTATTAATTCATTTTGTGTTGTAAACCGTAAAGGTTCGACAGTTTGCTGATCAGTGATCAGCCCAGAGGTTCTCTTGTGCACCGTTTCAGGTTGCACATTTTGCAAATATAAGCTTTGCAGTTCCAGCGAAGCGCGAAGGAGTGCCGGATAAGCCATGCCTCGGGCCCATCCGGTCTACTACCCAATACTACTCGGTATCTCCCAAATCGCTGACATAACCCGATGTACTGATGCCATCAGCCTATTCGCCGAAAATGACATCAGTTTACGGCGAGGGGCTCGTCACGGGGCGGGTTGATGGGAGGGCGGGGGCTGGACCCTGATTAGTAAACCCCACCACGACAGGCCACATCCTGGCTGCAGGGTCCTGTCCGTCTCCGGCACGCCGCAGCCTCCTCATAAGGCGGGGCCCGCGGGGCGACACTACTCGATCGCCTGTCCGGTACGGCGGTACTACATACTGCCGCGTGATGGGCACGCTGAGGTGTGGCTCGCTCAGGATCCGCTGGCTGCCTGGAGAGGCCCGGCGCGTGTCGTCACGACGAGTCGGGGGTTCGGTAACAGGGCAGGGCCACCCGGAGTGGTTGTCGGCCACCGCCTGCAGTCGACCGGCTATACCCACGCCCCACGACCGGCTCCGTTTTCACATTGTGCATATTCTATGGCCAATTCGGCCGGTAATGAGCGTGTGGTCGTCGGCGAGCAGAGCAGTAAACCTCAATTTGCAGCCGGCGTCTGCTAACTGAGGCGGAGAACCTCGGCTAACCAAGGCGAGGGCTCCGACCATCAAAGCGTGGCGCCCGCAAGCGCGGCAAACGGGGGAAAAGAGGCCGATTTTTTTCCGGTGCTGAGAGTTGTTTCGAGGAAGTGGTTTCGCTGCGCTGTTGGCTGTACCGTGTGCTGATGGGGATCATATGTCTTTTTCAGGGATATCGCCGCAGTGCCGAGCAGTGCAAGTCGAAAATGCACAACCTGATGACCAGCTACCGCCGAGTCAAGAAGGGCGTCGACCCCGAGTCACGCTGCAAGTTCTTCGCCGTTATTGATCAGGTATGTCGCGTGCGTTTCTTTAGGAACGTCCTCCAGTCTGTCTTTGGTGGAAAAATAGAGAATGTTGCGGCCCACAATGCGACAAGACTGACAAGTGCCCGTCATGAGCTGGCGATTCTGAGCTATGTGAAATCCGGTTTTGTCTTGTCGCCTTGATAAGCCGGCCTGCCCGCGGACTCAACTTTGGCCTGGTCGGGCTCGACTCAGTCAGGGGAAGTGGGGGAGGGGGTAAAGCTGTCAAACCGGCCCGATCCGCGATCTGTCATGCGACACATGGGGAGTGACGCTCAGCCAAGGCTGGAGAAACCTGCGGAGACTAATGGCAGTTCGTCACACTACACCACTTTCCTCTAATTTGCTAATGTACACGGCGCCATGCAATCAGGGGCTCTTTGGGAGCGCAGTGGTGTGACCGTGTCATTGTTTGTTGCCACGTTTTACGAGCTTCTACCATGAAGGGAAATTAGCATTACCGAACACGAGTTTGGACTCCTTTTTAGGTTCTTGGATGTAACGAGCGAAACTCATGCGCGAGTGAGGCCCACAAAGCTCTGAGCACCCCTCGTGAGTCGTGTTATACATCAGCGCCTAACGGACCACCCGTGGCGGCGATCCCTGAGCCATGTTGCGTCAGGAACAGGTCTCGGGACGCCAGGTGGCAGCCGGCCTGCCCTGATCCCCTCGCTGGAGGCCGACGACTTGCCATGTTCTCCTTACGCGGCTCATGCAAACGAAGACTCCTCAGCGCGCTACTAATCCCCTAGTTTTTCCCCGCCAGCTAGAGGTGCTCAACACAACTTTGCATGCCTCAGAGATTTAAAACAATGTAGAATACTCGTCCCGGAACAACCAAGAGCCCCGGCCGGATAAATGTGGATGCGTCGGGCTTTCCTGGTCCCTACACCAGGTCTTAAAGACGATCACGTTCTGAGATGCAGTAGGTTCCCGACAGCTGCGTCGTATGAACATGGCCTGCTCCAATGAGGCAATAAAGACTCGGGTAAATACATTCACACATTAATCGCATCCCTGTTCCCAGTGACTCATTTACTGTCGTTACTTTGACTGCATGCTTATGATCACGATAGCGTGAACATGCATTTTCCTCGTATGTCTTTTGTTGTTTTAATTACTGGACGTTTTATGGTATGGCCTCAAATATAGGTATGATCCATCAGTAGGGTGACATATATAAAATGATGCTTTGTTCGGAATTACCATCGACGAATGCACGCGTATTCTGCAGAAAGTCACGCTTTATTTTTTCTTCTTCCTGATGCGGCAAGCCAACGTTTCATCCTTTGATGGAATAGCGCAAAATGCTCCCTTATTTTCTCTTCCTTTGTCGGAATAGGATAAGTGATGCTTCAATTATGCTAAGTTTCTTGATAATGTGCTGCTGGGACTTCCAACACGAACCACAAGTCTTGGATCATTTAGGCATATTTCCCCCACAGTGCAATTCCATATAAGATTGTCTGGCTTTTGTGGTCACTGGTCAACACAGTTTACATACATCTTGCCGCAAAGCATTTCGTCGAAGCGCACGCTTACGAACTAACTTAATGAACTATTCGCTGGCAATATATAAAGTTATTTAATAAAACCACAAAAGCAACGACGCTGTGTATTCTCTCACATACCTATATAATGGTTGACCCTCGTGGCTGCGTTTCTCAAAGAAAGTCACGGATAATCGCTTTGCCCTAATCGTCATGCGTCTGTATTTGCTAAACTCAAGATCACGCACAGGAAAGCTTCAGTGCTACACACAATCTCAGTATTCGAACGCAAACTTTGAGTTTCCAAGAGTGCACGAACTCCTCCATGAATTCTAACACCTTGCACTGCCTTTTGACTATCACCGGCTTCACCGCCATCACCACATCACCCCATCATCTCCCTTTCACGTCGTCCGCTCTGCGATCATCCACTCATGCTGCTGCCTCGTGCCCACCACCTTCGCATCCCCTCGTCTTCCCCTCACGTCGTCCACTCTGTTCGACAGGTGATGATGTCTCCAGAGTTCGAGCTGCAGGCCGGAGCCTCTGGCGGCCCGGACGGAATGGACCTGGACGGAGGATCGTCTGAGGAGAGCGGCCCCAGCACGTCGGCCCTCTCTGACAGCGCGGCCATGTACCCGCACTCGCACTCTGTCTCGCCCGGCGGCAGAGACGACGCCAGGTGAGTTTTAAAGCCGAAATCCTGCAGAAACCTAGTGTTCAATAGTGCTGAAATCCTGAAGAAGCCAAGCCTGTATTGGTACCAAAATCCTGGAGAAACCTAGTCTTCATTGATGCCGAAATCCTTGAGTAACCAAGCCTTTACTGGTGCCGAAATCATCCGGGGGAGATTAAACCATCAAGTCGCCCTGGTCCCCACCGCTGAAAGCCTGCTGGAGAGGCCAAGCCTTCAAAATGATGCCAAAGTCCGAAAGCCTTCCCGGCGAAACCAAGCCACCTTCCCCTAGTCCCCACACCCTAATGCTGCCGAAAGCCTCTTGGTGAGAGTAAGCCAAGTTTCTCCTTGGTGTCATCATTTGTGCCGAAATCTCCTGGAGCGAATGAACATCCCTGGTCTCCCACTGGTGATGGTGTCAACGCCGTCTGTAGAGATCAAGTCTCTCTGCCGTCTCTGGTTCCATAATTGGTGCCACAACGCCGGAAGAGAGCGAACTCCTCTTGCCCCCAAAGGTTCCCAAACCCTCTAATAGAGGATCTGGAGTTTCGAAGCCCCAACTATGCTGAAAACATTAATGTTTTACCAACTCAGGGCGCTACAAAATGTGAATACTCTGCAGTGGTTTCCACATCCGTGATAGTTTCCTGAGAATCATGCAGGTACTGTTATGTTCCCCGTTAGGTAACGGAAACTAAAGATGCTTACAATTGTGACATTCATTCTTAACCTGCTTACTCCCTGACCTTTTAATGCCTAAAAAATATGATGTGAAGTAGGCCAATGCGCTTTTTGCAAGCTCCTTTGTCATCGGTTCTATAAGAACCGTGATGTCAGGCATGAGTGAGATTCCCGCTTGATGTCTGAAGCCAGGTATCAACAGTTACTTTCTTGCACCTTGCTTTTACTCCTGAGCTAACCTGAACACAACATTCAGAGCTGCGTTCTGAAAATTCCGCTCTTTCTTTCTCTAAACTTTCGTGAGTGTCTCTTCTGTGGAGGAATTTCCATAACATCATAACATCTATAAACTATGCTATCTATGGTTGATTACCAACTGCAACGGCCCTCACTGAGGGACCCCCGGCATCTACCTCCGTCGTGGTTTTGCTTAGTCTGTCCCCTTCCAACGACTGAACTCGAACGTCTCCCACGTGCCACTCGCAGTCCGGTATGCGGCCTCATGTTGGCCCTATCAGCGCCTGACTAGGCCTGGCGTTCCGTCTTGATCTACCGCCCCTTGGTGGTCCCCGACGGGCGCCAGAGCACTGCGCAGAGAACGCCACTTGGGGAACTTCGGTCGATCTGTTTATGTATACAGACGCACACATGCGGGAGGGACTTCGTCACCTCGTCGCTGGATCGAAATCCCCCAGTGGACATGTGTTTTTATTTCATTTGATTAAGATATGTCAGCCACGTTTTCGAATAGTTTTTGACGAGTCGTTTTCAAGATGTCGATGTAAAAGCTGAACCTGTGTCTATTTCTGACATTTTGATCGGTCCGCCGTTTTGGTTCATCCACAACACATACATTACATTCTGGAAATTCATACCACGAGGATATCCTTGGCCATATGCAACACTTCAAGCTCTATGAACAGTGAACACATATGACAATGACTCTCTTGTGCACTGTGCACCCTCCAGAGGTGCACGATCCCCACGTGTCACGTTTTCAGTGCAAAAAGTGTCGGGAAACACTGCAGCACCGTTTCAGGGAAGCCGTCTCGGAAAGGCACATGAGCAGGTCGTGCAGCCTTCCCCTCTCACTCGGTGAACCTGTATTAGAATCTTGTGGCCGCCGTGCCACTGCGGCGCCGCCGCCGCCCCGTCCAGGCTCGGGATGAGTTATATGGCATTGTGCGGGGCGGGGCCTGGAGGAGACGGCCGGCGGCACGCGCAGCGCAATTGTAAATTTAAGATATGTCATTTAAGGCACGTAGGCCGCCAAGCTGGCGCCTTCCGTCACCTCGTCGCTGCTGTGCAAGTTCGCACTCGTTTTGGGCGTGTTCTAGACGTTTCGTAACCTGTTGAATAAAAGGTGGGTCACGTACGACCCCCGGCCAGTCTGGGCCGGCGCGCGACGGAGGCAGCTGGCAATACAACGGCAATGTGGACGTAAGGAGTTTACTTCAAGCTATTTCGGCCTTGGAAGACTGCCGTGATGGGGAACGAGAAGGAGACCTGTGATGGTTCGGACGCTGCGGCTGATCTCCGCTTAATCCCGGAGTTTGACGGTGTGTCGCAGCCCGTGTGCGAGTGGCTGGACAAGGTCGAACTTGTGTGTCAGCTGCGCGGCATCAAGGGACTGCACGTCGTCGTCCCGCTGAGACTCACTGGTGGTGCGTTTGCGGTATATCAACAGCTCGGAGAAGATGAGAAGAAGAAGTACGAGGACATCAAAAGGGCCCTGACATCGGCGTTTGCTTCGGATCGGTTTGAAGCCTACGACCAATTTGAACGTAGAAGGCTGCGTCCAGGTGAGACGGTGGACGTGTTCGTCTCTGAGCTGCGCCGGCTGGCTGGCTTGTTCGGAGGTATGCCGGACGACAGCCTGGCCTGTGCCTTCGTGGCCAAACTGCCAGATTCAGCACGCCGTGCGCTCCGGGCTGGATCACGGATGGAGGACATGCCGTTTAGCCAGCTAATCGGTCGCGCTCGGGCCGTGCTAGCCGACGAGGAAACAAACACCGCGGCCGCCGCCGCTGGCACAAGGACTGGAGCACTCCCGGCCACAATGAAATGCTACTCGTGCGGGCAACCGAACCATATCGCCCGCGACTGCACGGCAGGCCGCGGACAGCGGGGCCGTGGAGGCCCCCGTGGTGGACGGAGCCTCGTGAGGTGCTACAACTGCAACCGGCAGGGACACATCGCCTCTGCGTGTCCGGAAAACGACGCGGGAGGGGAGAGATCAGCGCCAGCCTCCTCTCCTGTCGACCAGTGAACGGGGCGCTGCCAGTCGCGCAGCTGTCGGTGGACGGAGCGAGCTGCAAAGCGCTGGTTGATACAGGATGCAGCCAGTGTGTAGCTCACGTGTCAGTTTGTCGGAGGTGGAACCGACGCCCGGTGAGCGTGATGACAGTGAGTGGAGGGCGTTATTGGTGTGAGGGGTCAGGCGTGGCACGCGTGCAGCTGCGGTCCGGTGAATCAGTGTCCGTAGATGTGCTCGTCGTAGCACGTAAGCCACTGGGGTTTGAGTTCATCCTCGGGATGAATGGTATCAGAGCACTGGGTGGCGCTACAGTGAGTTCGGATGACCGAGTCAGATTCGGAGTTGAGGCAGCGGTGTCTCATAGAGCGGCGTCAGTGGCCTCACCCGGTGACCGGGTCAGCTGTGATGGTGAGAGGGTGTCGCGTGCAGTGGCAGCGACTGCACGGGTGAGTCACGATCAGGCGAGCAGTGAGGCGGCCCCAGCGTCAGGTGCAGCGGCGGCAGCTGCAGCAGTGAATCGAGCTGACAGCAGTAAGGGGGATCCGGTGTTGGGTGCGGCGGCGGCGGCCGCACCGGCTAATCGAGCCGACGAGAAGGACTTTGTGGTGAGCTTTGATGAGACAGAAAAGAAGTGGTCGTTGGAGTGGAAATGGTGTGGAGGAAAGGAGCCCGAGCAGCTGCACAATACAGCAGAGGAGTACGCGATTCCAACAGAAGCCCGACACGAATACGAGCGAGAACTCTCCAAGTGGGTGGCGAATCAATGGCTCGTCCCTTATGATGAGAGCGTGCACGGGAGGGTCAAAGGCACGATCCCGCTCATGGCGGTCATCCAACCGAAGAAGGACAAAGTGCGTCCCGTCATGGATTTCAGGGAGTTAAATACGCACCTGGACCCGCATACAGCTGACGCGGATGTTTGCAGTGAAAAAATCCGTGAGTGGCGTCGGTGTGGACGAAACGTGTCTCTCCTAGATCTGCGAGACGCTTACCTGCAGATCCACGTGCACGCATCGCTGTGGCCGTATCAGACTGTAGTGTTCCAGGGCAGACGGTGGTGTCTGAGCAGACTTGGCTTTGGGCTCAGTCTCGCACCGATGGTGATGAGAAAGGTGCTGGAAATGGCCCTGAAACGTGACCCGAGGGTGCACACCGCTACATCACCTTACGTGGACGACATACTCGTAAATGAAAACATCGCTACTGCATTGGAGGTGAAGGGTCATCTGGAGGCGCTCGGTCTGACCTGCAAATCCCCGGAGAAGGTGTCAGAAGGTGCTCGTGTCCTGGGCATTCGAGTCTGGGGGGAGCGGCAAGGACTGTTCTGGAAGCGGGACAACCAGGATCTACAGCCGCCGCCACAGCTGACGAGGAGAGAGGTCTTCTCGCTGTGCGGACGTCTGACAAGTCAGGTCCCGGTGTGTGGCTGGCTGCGTGTCTCCGCATCCTACCTGAAAAGACGCGCCACTGCAGCGACAGACGGCTGGGATGACGAGATCACCGACCCAGAACTCCAGAAAATGGTCATGGAAACGCTGCAGCGCGTGAAAACGGCCGATCCCGCACGAGGTCGCTGGGATGTCACCGGCGATGAGGGAGTCGTGTGGGTGGATGCCAGCTCCCTCGCCATAGGAGCCGTGCTGGAGATGGAAGGCAGCATCGTTGAGGACGCCTGCTGGCTTCGGAAAAATCCCGAGACACACGTGAACCTTGCAGAACTGGACTCCGTTGTGCGTGGCATCAATCTGTCCCTGGCATGGAACCTGAAGAAAGTGACTGTCGTGACGGACTCGAAAACGGTCTATCACTGGCTAACAGATGCGCTCTCCGGCAGAGCTCGGATAAAGACGAAGGCGGCGAGTGAAATGCTGATTAGAAGGCGCCTGGAGACCGTGAAGAGTCTGAGAGATGAGTACGGCCTCCAGCTGACCGTGAAGTGCGTTCCGTCAGTGGACAACAGGGCTGACGCACTGACGAGAGTGCCGAAGAAGTGGCTGAACCAACAAAGCGATCCTGAGGTCTGCGGCGCTGCCTTCTCGGCGCCGGATGTGGTCAGGATCCATGAAAC